CAGCGTCCTCATTGATATGGATGCAGTCCTACGTGCCCAAACAAGAGCCAAACAAATCTAGAGACAGTCATCAGGAGGTTCAGGACTAGGTATGAATGCAGCTCATGACAGAAGTGGGGATGTCCCACTAGATTGCTCCCTGCTCCCTCTCACCCAGTCCCAGATCCTGTGGTTGAATCACCTTGGAGCTGGCTTTCATTCAAAGCAACTAGGCCCCTGGAGGTAAAATAATTAGTGCCATCAGGCCCCTGACAGCAGGAATCACTGAGAAATGTGCTTTTCTAGAGAATACAATAGCAGAGAGAACCTGACTAGTGACCTCACTAAACTTCAAAAGTCATGAAAAAGTAATCTCTGAGCATAAAGTAGAATGGCTCCAAAAGCAGATCCTGCCCTAACCACATTAAGGAGCAGCACCAGAAAGAAACAGAAGACCCAGCCTCCCCTGTGGCAGTAAAAGGGGTAACTGAATGTTGTTTGACTGCAGTCTTGCTTTTTTTTGTAATATGTGTAGGGTTGATTTAAGCTGTTCAGAAGTTTTTGAAGATAAAGTCACACATTAGGTGACTGTCACAACAGTGTGCCACTCTGTGCACACTGTAGTGCCATGGTAAGCCAGGCCTGATCTGTATTCACTCTTTGGGGACTCTCTGCTGTCTGCCTTCAGAGCAAGCCGTGGCATGGACCAACAGTTGTCCCTCAGACAGTGTGCCAAAGCAGAGGGCAGCCATTGTCTGCAGTTTTGCAGGGCTGCAGGGCTTCCTCAAGAAAGTCTGAGCCTTCTGGACTCCTATTTATTCCCTTCCTGGTAAGAAGCAAATCTGTCCTAACAGCGGTGGATTATCTGCTGAGGAGCCCGAGACTATGAACTTTTGAGTATTATAAGGGAGACTTAGGTTTTGCCTCTAATTTTACCTCTGACAGCTATTTTAGGGTTTCAGGACCATGTTTTTTAAAGTAAGAAAAGAAAAACCATATTTCTTTTCCAAGACACTTGACGATGTATGTGTCACTGCATCGAGAGAGAGCACTAACTCCAAGCTTTTACCTTTCTCCCAACATACAGAGATTCTCCTTCTTAGTATCTCAATAATAAGAGCCCCAGAGCTCAGACACTCTCCCAGGCCTGCAGACTCATTCTATCTTTCTGTCCCTTTTGTTGCAAATCATACCTCATCTCTGGTAAACTGGGACTGGATGGTCCAAAAAACAGAAAGGAAGAATTTATGTGGGAATAAGTTTGTTTCAGGGTCCTAGTTGAGTTATGCTCTTCTGGGGCAGCCAGGATACTGGAAGAAGGCACGTCTATATCAGTCAGAATTCTACCTCTCTAAAATTTGTATTTAGATGCTAAAGTTTTCAAAGAAGAGATTAGGTCTTTACTATTGATCTTCAGTTATGGCCTTGGGGTGTACCACCACCTTTACAAAATAACATCTTATTTGTTACAATATGTAGCAATGAAATATTAGGCTTTTAATTCCAGAGGATTTTATTATATGTACTCTTAGCTAATAAATTAAAACCAGGGTATAAACAGTTGATAATATCTCACTTTTCATTCATCTTTTTCCTCTACAAGGCAAAAATATTTAAAACTTGCTTTTCATCACAATAGAATCAGAGTGTTTCATGATATGAATTGATTTTCCTTGAGATATGCACAGGAAAACAGGAGGAAATATACAAAGTAGATCAGCAGCCAGCTTCTTTTCAAGGCCACCCTAGTCAAATTTATGCAACCTGTTTTGCTCAATTCCATTGCCAAAAATTAGTCAACCATGTTAAAAAAATCAATAAGAACCCAAATTTTACTATTACTACTACCAAGTGAGAAATATGCACAATCAAAACAGCAGTTCATTGTAACACCAAGTGCTGTGAATTGACAAGTGTGTTCTGGAGTGAGCTGAATGTTGTCATGTACCCCCACTAACTGTAAAGTAATATTGCAAAATGCTAACAAGGAGCCTTCTGTTTAACCGCTGCATTTTTTGTAAAATAGATTGGTTAACTTCAGTACCAAAATTTCAGAAAACACTAAATTCAGAAAACACACAATTTCACATAGTCTGAGATTAATCACTTAGATTATTTTTCAGTTTAGTTGTAACAGTTTGAAAAAGAATGCAAGATTACTTTAAGCATGAGACAAAGGGTATTGTCCAATTCATGTCTCTGTCACCCCCATTGCTCAATATAACAAGTAGCTGGAGAGAGAATTGAAGTAACATCAGGTAGTTTGTTTGCATTTTTTCGTATAAAAGTGCTCATTTAATGACGAAAAATGTGTTCAGGGAATCACACAAACAGCATTATGTATATACAGTTCTTGATGTCTGGCTATGTTCTCTTAGATTACTTAGCTCTAATAGTTTAGTTCTCCTTATGGTTATATTTTTCTTTCCATCTTAGACATGAAAATCAATGTAACATGCAACCAAATGGACTGCCACATGAAAATATCTCTAAAAAAATGCTATTTATACTAGTTCTTTAGAATTATTTTATAAATAGATGTAATATTTATTGAAAGATTCACAGAAACTTTTTTACAGCTAACAAACCAAAAATTAATTCATAATGTTTAGCACACTCCTAGTTTTATAACCTCATCCATTATTTTATTATTGTTATGTTAGGTAGTGACTTTTTATGATTATGCCACTTTGAGAACATAAATTTTCATTTATAATTGCAGACGAGCATCAGAACAGCATGGTGTAGAATTGCAATTATTGTTGACCTTCTGGAAGGAGAACCAAATTCCTGTATTTTGTTCAACAAGAGTGATAATACACCAGGATAAACATATGCTTGAAAGTTTTTATTCTTTTTATCTATGGAGAACTAAATTAAGACCTGGATTTCATAAACAAGTTGAGCTTATGTGGCTAGCCTTTAACATTTTGACAATGCTGTAAATGCTTTATGTTCTGACAGGACTGTCCGTATTTGTGGAAAAGCATAACAGACTCAGAGGAAGCCTATTCTTATCAATATGATCACATTTCCTAAAGTGAGTACCTTGCCAGTTATAAAATAACCTCTATTAAAAAAAAAAAAAAGTAGTAAATGTACTGAAAAACACAGAACACGAGGTTAGTTATATGCAAGTCAGGAGATACTAGCTGTCAAAGAGCAGTAGAAAAGGAGTCACAACAAAGACTCACCTGTCCCTGTGTCCTATGTGCAGCATTGGTTAGGGGTGGATACATAGGGAAAAGCACAAGAACAACTTCACAACTCAGAGACTTTCAAGCCCTATTACAGATACCTTTTTGATCCATCATTTCTGGAGTTAAAGCAATTTTCTCTCTTAATTTAGAGAGAAAAATAAATGAAAGAAAAATAAACTACATATAAGATTCTTTTATAAAGTAATGAGGTTTATAAACTTGTATAACTAAAAGGTTTATATAGTATGTATGTAGTATAAACTTACATTGTTTGTGCCAACATCTACAGCTCAATGATTTAATTTTAAATATCTGATAACTGGTCAGTTACTGAAATATCAGAAGGAATACCATGATTGTGTGGGCGCAGTCACATTGATTTTATACAAAACCATTTTTCATATAAATCAGACTTAATTGGTTAATTGTGTACTAAGAGCTTTGAACTGTCTGTTTTCAATCAACATCAGAATTTTGTTTTCTTCCAAACTATACTTAACTAAAACTTTGCATAAAAGATTTGTTGACTATATTAATAAATTTATTGCTTAAAATGTTTCATTCTTTTATATTTTGTTCCAAACAAACTTCGTTAACTGTGATCATTAAGAGATTGCTGCTTGCTTATTTACAGAGGAAACTATAGACCATTGAATCTAAGCTGCATTTTTCTAGATACTTGAAAAGTTAATTTTTTTTTATTTACTACAGCTTTGAGGACTCAGTAACATTATAAAATGGCCTGCCATTACATTAACAGTTAGAAAAAAAGTTTTACACTACAGAGAACATTATATGACCAGTAGTAATATAGTTAAAGTATTTCTGTAAATTAGACAACATATAAGAATGGTAGCAGAAGCTGTTTCCCAAGAAGACCTCTAATAGCTCATGTTTTTCTTGTTTTTAAAACAAAAGGTACAAACCCAAAAGAAATATAGCCATTAGAAAGTTATGTGTGTGCCAAAAAGCTTATTTAAGTTGTACATGGTTACTTTGACTCCACAATAATATTATTTTCTATATTTAAAAAATATTTACTTTTTGTCTATTTGGAAGGATGAACCTAACCAAAGAACAAACCAAACTAGAGAAAAAAAACCTTTTTTACCAAAGCAAACCATGTTAAAAAATTCTTTTTTTGGTAGAGTTCTTTTGATTTTGCTTTGAGATTTTCCAATCCAACATCTTATTCAGACAAAGTGAATCCACAAGTTATATTTAAATCATACTGTTTATTTATAACATTTTTGTTGGTGTACAAAGATTTGTATCACATCAGTATTGTTTTGATCTATTAGAGATTGGAGGCATACTGCCTTGGAAAATGCACAATTCCCACAGTGTATCTTTGCAGTTTTACACAAGCAGACCTATACACACTTTGTATGCATTACCAGTTAACCAACAGCTACATCATTAGCAGAATTTTAAGCTAAGATATCCTGTTTCTTAGCAAGGTTTACTAACATGATTCATAATTGCAGTTGTCTTCAACTTATTGCAACTGATTATACATATATATGTATATATATGGAAATATATACATGTCTTTTAAGAGAATTAGAGATCACTCTGATAGCAATGTTTAAAAGACTGAAAACTTTGACCTGTTTCAAATTTGGAAACAATAGTTTACTAGATTGACATACATCAGTAATCCATACTGCTAAAATTGGTTCTTATTCACTATTAATCATCTCTCTGTATTTTCAAACAAATAGCTTTAAACAAGCTTATCCTAAATTAGTTGTGAGTATACAATATGATGGATTTGACGTTCTTCATGAAGTTATAGAATATTTACACACCTACCTTGTTTAGGCTATTTAGTATGCATAGGTCTGGGCTGAAGGCAAACATTTATAAATTGCATCCTGGGCTGCTTCTCTTTGATGGGTGTATCCACCACGTCTTTGACCATGAACTATTATAGCAACTTTCTGGTGGGCTCGGCTTGGAGAGTTTAAAGAGACTAAGAAGTTGTGACAGAAAAAAAACTGCTGAGAGTTTGTTTGGAGGACTATAGTTAGAAAGATTTCTGTCCCCTTCACTCTTTTCTTGTTCCCTCTCCTTAGAGATAGCTCCCTTTCCTAGATGACCACCCTCAGCCCAAGACTAGGTATAATTCACTACTTTAGTCTTCCTAGAAGGGAAGGTATTAATTCATCTAGGTAAATAAAGTTCACTTGGTTTTAAATCAAGTGGATTTTCTCATCTATGTAAGAAAGAAATCTCTTTTACAGCATCTATCCATGGACAGGAGATAGAGACATGAGCAAATTAATAAAAAATAATTTGCCAGTTCTACAATCACACCTCCAAAATAATTAAATTATGTGTTCACAATTTATAGTAATCCATGTCTATGTGATCTAAGTGTTTGTTGCTTAACACAAAGGCTAAGACTAAAAGATCTCTGGAGGGAATTTAACAGTTCCCATACATATATGTATCTCACTTCAAGGTTGGGACTAATGCTTTGGAAAATGCTTGAAAAAATGGATTTTAGAGAAATTGTAAAATCTGAGATAAACAATTTATTGCATACAAGCCAAAATAATATGGTGGGAAGCTTTAACTTACCTATAAACCCCCCCAAACCAAACAAGCAAATAAACCAACCCTCCAAATCCCCAAACAAACAAACAAACCTCACAAAAACAAAACCAAAACCAAAACAAACCAACCAAATAAAAAACAAAACCAAAAATCCCCAGAACACTCAGAAAAAGCCAAAACTCCCAAATTTGTAGTATTAAAACCAAATCTTATCAAAACAATTTTAAAGTCAATAAATTATGAAAAACTCCCTTTTTTTTCCAGAAAAATAAGTTAACTAAAAACTATTCTGAATTTTTACTTACTTTATGATTCCTAAAATTCTCAGAGAATTTTTTTTGTTAGAAGAAACTGCAACTGAAATCAACAAGAAAGAGTCTGAAAGAAAAATGGAAGCTAAATTAAAATGATTGTGATTACCACACAGCGTAGTGAATGTGCATCACATTATGTGACTGAATTATGAGTAGTGCATATGAATTAGATGCACATATTCAAATACAGAATTAACTATATATAACTTATATACACATGTGTGGATACAATATCAAAGAAGCTTCATGAAATTTCTAGCTAAGAATTAGCCATGTGTGTTTTATTTCTATTTATAATACATCCATTATATCAGTTTACCTTTTGTGATTTTCCTCAAACGTGAAAGGAAATGGCTTTCAAATTCATGTGTTCTTGCTAAAAAATGCCAGATGCCAATAGCTGCCTTGTCAAAAGCTTCTTAGTTTGCATCAGAAATAAAAGTTCCAGTTCAGGACCACTTGAAAACCACTCTCACAGGGCCTGCGATTTCATCCTCATCCCCCAGCAGCTGGAAAGCAGGGAGTAGATGGGCAGACCAGCAGTGCAGACAGTGTATTAATCTCTGCCTTTTTCTTGTTTCAGCTACTTCCATTACAGCAGGAGTAAGTGGGGTTTGAAGATTGCTTATGGTGTAAAAAAACACTAGCCTTAATTATGAGAGTTTTTTGGTTTAACTTGGCAGATTTCAACATCCTCAGTGGAAGGCAGAGTACTGAACTTGTTCTCTGCATATTTTTTTTTCTTTTTTTAAATGTCAGATATTGAGCAGGGTTTTTGAAAAAATTCAACAGCTAGAGACTGGATGACTTCAGTAATAAGAATACAGCCTGGAGAAGGTACATAAATCTGTAGCCTTGCTGTGCATAAAATTGCTTTGGTAGCCCTGCATCTGGAAAGACATGAGGTTTGATCAGTGTGGTTCGAAGGAATGCCATCAGCTACACAAACTAAACCTGCACCTTAATTACCAAGTCATGCTGTTTTTCTCCAAGCAATCTTATAGTGAACTTTTTAAACAGATATAAAAGCAGTGGTGAGTTTGCAAATATGACATTAAACGGAATAAAGTTTCCTCTCACCCTCAAGAAAATGTAGGGGTGACTCTGAATCATCCCTATAGGCCTACACAGGCCACCTTCTGCTTCAGTAAGACTCTTAATGCCATAAATGTTTGATCCATATGTTTCTTTCATGATTCATCCCTGAGCAGCTCCATATGTCAGGACTGGTCAGACAAGGCTTTTGAAACTCCCATGAGCAGAGCTGGTGACTAGCAGACATATGCACGTTTGTTTCACAAGTTGTTATTTGCTGTTTACAGGCCCATTCAGTCGGACTGAAGAATAACTGGGAAGAGAACTGCTGAAGAGATCATCAGTAACATTAAACTGGATAAGTAAAAATTTATCTGGAACTATATGTGTTCCTTTCTTGTACCTGCGCTTCTATTGCAGGGCTGAGTATAAGCTAGTCCTCTTCCTTCTAGGACTCCTTGGCTATGCCCAATCTGCAGAAATTAGGCTGGTGAGCTGACTTCAGCCCAGTTTGCCCACCTTGGTGTCTCACTAAGAATAAATCAGGCTGAGTGGGATCATTAGCATGCATATTTCCAGTGGGTGGTTAACAGACTGGGATTTACTGCAGCAGGTAAGCCTCCAAACAAAGTAAACAGGGTTTACAATTCTGGTATTGGTAGTCTTGAGTTGAGAGAAGGGTCCAGTACATGGACCTTATCACCACAGTGCCTGGAATAGTACAGTATTACAAGCATTCAGCTCCGTGGGACTCTTAGGAAAAGCAAGGTAGGAAATCATTATTCTCACTTTTTAAGAAAAGCAATGAAGCATGCAGAGAGAGGATGAAGCAGTTCACAGTTCCTCCTGGCTTTATTAGTCAGAAGTATCTATATTCATAGAAACATGAATAATTTCTATCCTGCATTCTCTAAAAAACCCATTTTTTAAGGTTGTATAGTGCACAAGTGATATTTCTTGAGCTCAGGAAAAGTAGTACATGTATATACATCTACAGTACTTCCCAAAGGAAATGGAGGCTTAATGCTGGGACCAAATAAAGTGCCCTTGTCTTTATATATACGTAGGCAGACACAGGCATTGGGCTCTCAAAAATATGTATTAACTTAAGAAATGCAGGAACCTATTACTGGCATGGTTAACTAAGTCTGGATCAAGTGCCAATTACAGGCAACTGACTAAAGAAAACCTGGGTCTTGATTCAGGTCTTGCTGTAGCGAAGGTAAGATTTTTTTTTTAACCTAATAGAATAAAAGCATATGGGGCATGAAGATTCAGCTATCATAAATATTCATTACTATTAATATAAAAAAGAAATATGACCCGTGTATATGCAGGACTTTTCACAGATTTCTCAAATTTGTGCCAAACTTCTATAAAGAGAAAATCTCATGTGCTGAGTCCATGCGTGAGGAAAAAAATCAAACTCCAAATCACATTTTTATTATTATCTATAAAACCATCATATAATTTCTATATTTTACAACTGGTATTTTTCAGTCCTTATCCTAAACCACATTTATAACAGTTTTCAACTTACAATGAACTCTAATTGAACTACTGCTCAAAAATTTGGATGAAGGTTTACAGCATAGTTTGTGCCAAGTAAATGCATTTCAGCAGGTTAGCAAGTTTTACTTAGAGTTCTACTTCAATAGAATAAATTATTTCCATTCAAATTGATTGCATTAGAACAGAGAAGTATTAGTACCCTAAGCAATTTTAAGATTAAAAGGAACTGTTCAATAGTCAAGCACATACATTCTTTTCTTTAAAAATTTACATCGAAGGCTCCTTTCATCTGCATAACATCTTTCAAAATGGAAGAAAATTTCTTGCATATTACTTAAGATTAGAATAAAAATATTGTATGGTTGAATAGACTGACAAATATTTTGCTGATTAACTAATTTTGTAGGTAGTGGAATATATTGATTGAATTATTCAAGAGATAATACAAACTTTTGTTCAATTATTGGAGAATTTATTTTAAGGCAGTGCTCAATCAAAACTTAAAAATAAGCAGAGAAGAAGAGAGGAATTTCATAAATATGGTCTTGCCTGTTACAAAATCATGTTGCCATTCTTCTGCTACAAAAATCTTGAAAACCTTTCTGCATTGTCTTTTCTCCTCGAGAGTGATCCTGCGTGCATTCTCAAAGGAAGCAGCGGCGTTATAGATGGTGTGTCTCCAGGTCACCCAGTTGGAGGCCAGAGTAGACCAGTTATGTTGATCAATATGGCCAAGGCTGAGATGTTGTTTCAGGGAGTCCTTGTATCTTCTCTTCGGGGCTCCTCTCTTGCAGCAGCCAGTGGCAAGTTCACCATAAAGCAAGATCTTAGGGAGGCGGTGGTCCTTCATCCTTGAGACGTGCCCTGCCCAACGCAGCTGTGTTCTCAGCAACATGGCCTCAATACTTGTGACTGCTGCTTGTTCTAGAACAGATGTATTGGTCACATAATCTGACTAGTGAATGTTTAGGATTGTACGGAGACAGCGTTGGTGGAAGCGTTCTAGGAGACGCAGGTGGTGGCGGTAGATGACTTATGATTCAGATCCATATAAGAGAGTAGACAGCACTATGACTCTGTAAACACTGATCTTTGTACTTTTCTTCAAGTGTTTATTTCACCAAACTCTTTTATGAAGCTTTCCGAAGGCACTGTATGCCTTTGCTAACCTGTTGTCTATCTCTCCGTCAATCTTACCATCCGAGGAGATGAGGCTACCTAGGTAATTAAACTGCTGGACTGATTTGAGCTCTGATTGGCCAATGGTGATATGGGGATGATGGGGGACTTCCCGAGGTACAGGTTGATAGAGAACTTCTGTCTTCTTTAAGCTGACTTCCAGCCCAAAGAGCTCAGCAGTGTCTGCAAAGCAGGATGTTAAACGCTGCAGAGCTGCTTCTGTGTGGGCCACAAGGGCGGCGTCAACAGCATAAAGGAGCTCCCGGACAAGATGGTTTAAGGTCTTGGTGTGGGCCTTCAGTCGCCTTAGGTTGAAAAGGCTTCCATCAGTATGGTATCGAATGTAGATACCGTCCTGATCATTGAGGTCTGCAGTGGCCCTTTGGAGCATCATGCTGAAAAAGATTGTGATTAGGGTTGGTGCAAGAACGCAGCCTTGTTTTACACCATTGGTAATTAGAAAGGGCTCAGATTTTACAGTGATGTTCTACAGTTTGCCAGGGGTGAGGGGCCCAAAACTTCTCCCTTTAAATTTTTCTAATGCTCACCATTGCTTTAAACATTATATCTGACAAAATTTTGCTAAAGTTAGACTTCATTTGGGGAGTCTATTTTTTACCTTTTTTTCCAAAAGAATTAGAAGTTTTAAAAAAAATTACAGAAGATTTAGTCTCAAATAATCATTGCAACAATAGTAGTTGTAATAAATTATAATTTCTTCACATGACTGAGAGAACTACTCCACTTATGTCCTAATTTTTATTTTTTTTCCCTTTTGCTACTGTCAGTAAGGAAATGAATAGCAAAACAGGGAAACAAATTTGAAAAAAAAAAAGAGACTTTTCTCACTTTTTTTTTATGTGTACCAAAGGCTAGAAAAAAAATTCAAAAAGTGGACACGATAGTTTAAAGCCATGAACATTTATTACATTGCAAACACAAGTTTGAAATTAAATTCTTTTTCACATTTACCAGCTCCTTTTTTTTTTATTTTCGATGTACCTCAGTATGTTAGGCTGACTGTGCTGATATGTTCTCTGGGAACTTGAAGGTTTCTGTGGGAACCAGAAAGTTCATCGGCAGACCTGAAGATTTCCATAAATTTTTGATTCAAAAATTTGGAAATGTACTTTTTGAACCATGGAATAACAAATGAGATTTGCAAAAGTACTCTATTTATTTTTTAGTTTCTGAAAAAGCTAAGCATTTACATACACACCTTTCTGTACCAGAGTCTTATTTATCATTTTGATCACATGTCTCTAAGCAAGCATTAAACAAACATTTATACCATAAAATTGACCAAAGAAAAAGCAACTGAAATAACAGTAAATAGGG